TGGATGTCATTAACCATTTTCAGCTTAACCTCCCTGGTTAATATAATCAGCATGACTTCAATAAGAGATGATTCCTCATGAAAGCATCCAAGAAAGGCCAGGATGCTACATTTCTAACTTGGCCTTTTAAGGAAAAAGTGCTCTGTAATGACAAAAATGCTCGCTCGACTTATGCCAATGCCTTCTTGCAAAAAAAATACGGTGGAAATAACATATACTTCTGAAATGGACTTTTATATATGTTTTTCCTACCTCCCCTCTTACACGAAATATTTCCACCTGCTCCGAGGAATACTGCAGTATCAACTCTAAGAGGATTTGTTAAGTCTGAAGAAAGAAGAAAGTGTTTTCAACTATTTACTTAATTAAACCGAAGAATGCATTCCTCATCAATACTTATCATTAACCTCTAAATATTAGGTCACTAAAGATCAACTGATAGCACAGAACACCCAAAACGCTGGCTTTCCCAGCTGCAGACACAGCTCTCAATCTCTGGCCATTAGAGTTAACATTTCGTCTCACCGATTTTTCAGACGATTACCAATAAGTGATGCTTATCTATTTTTCTTGAAATTACAAGCCTGGTTTCCTGTTTTGCCTTAAATAGAAACAATAGATGATTTGATACCATACAAAAAGATTCTAAATTCGAGAAGGGAAATTCTTGGAGTGCATTTCCACTTAAGCTGAAAGGGGAGAATTATACATGCCCTGAACAATACAGAGATGCAAAATAGATTTTATATTAGCTTACATTCTAATATTAAACATATTTATTTTATCACAGAAAGTGATTAAAACAGGGTTCCTCTGGACCACTGTCCTTAATAACCATCGAGACCTGCTTTCTCAACTTGGAAAGTTCCCGTTTAGTCTCTCCGTGACCGTTATAAGCCGCACCCTCACCCACACAACTGCTCTGCCAGCATGACCAGACCCCTTTTCATACAGGGGACCAATGTCCAAGACACAGGTGTATTGTGAATTTATACAGTGGTGAAAAGGTTTCTCTTCCTTTCTGGTTTTTGTTCCTAATATTGATGATCATGGGGAACAAGAAATCTACCTGACACCTCTCACTCATGTTAAGATACGACCGGAAGATGCTAAAACATACTGCTATAGAAAGGAAAGTAGTACCAGAGACTATGCAAGAAGGATCTGGGTGAATAATGAAGGATTAAAACACAGATTTCACCTTTCCTAAACTCTTACTGTGGAGTTTATGTATTTTGAGAGAATATGAGAGACAGAGTTTTAAGAAACACATTCTCCCACTGTGTATCCTGTAATACTTTCCTCTGGTTCCCTCAAAAAAAACCCCAATAAAACAAAAATTACAGGAAGAAAGGAAAACCATCAGCACTTCTGGGAGACAAACAAAAGCATCCTAAAAATGCCTTCAAGAGGGAAAAACCCCACAGCTACAGAGGAATAGGGTCAGAGGAACAGCCTGCAGCTTCACTGGCTCTTCCACGTGTGTTCACATGAATGCCAAGCCGAAGGTGTTCTCAGGCCACCACAGGCGACAGAGTAGGAGGTTGTTTCAGACCAAGAACTCAGCCCAGCAGGCACAGATGGCTGGCTGATGTGTTGGCTTCACTCACTACTGTCTCCCAACTCATACTGTTGCACTGCAAATGTGAGTCCTAACACCTACAACCATAACTCAAAAAGGGTCCTAAAACTACAGCATCACTGGACTTAGCCGTGACTCCCTGTAGCTCCAGTTATTGCCATCAATGCACTTACTGTCTGTATGTTACATATGTTAACTTACAAGTTTCCTACATCCTACCATTCCTCTGCAGCTAGTGATACATGTTAATTAATTTCCTTAAAAAGCTTCACCTTGTTATGTTACTGTGACGTTTAAATAACTAATTTCATAAAAAGAAATGAGCAACCTGGTCTAGTGGAAGGTGTCCCTGCCCCTGGCAGGGGCGTTGGAACTAGATGATCTTTAAGGTCCCTTCCAACCCAAACCATTCTGTGATTCTATGAAATAATTATATCTCTCAAAGAATTGTATCAATTTACTAAGTCACCCCCTGGAAACCTGAAATGGGCAGCTGCTTTTGCACCAAGGTTATCAACAGTAATATATCCTAAAGCATTTATGGATTGCCTTCAGGTGACAATACTTACTTATCAAGAGCCTTGTAATAGAGGTCCAGATCTTTGTTCATCAGCTCTGTTGTTCTCATAACAATCATCATCTCCCTGTATTTCTCCTCTGCATCTCTGAATTGTGACTCTTGAAGTTCCTTTTTAAACCGAGCAATCTCCTCCTTAAATCCGTGTTGTCGGCCAAGTGCAACATGATGGTTCCTTTTCAGGGATTCTATTTTCTCCTCTAACTGTTTTTTTTCACTGTGAAACCATAATTGATAGACAAGATTTGGATATTTAGTTTTTCACAATTTTTTAATCAGAGCTCTAATTTTGAGCTTATGTTAGACAGTAGCTCACTATACTGTAACCGTAAAGTTTGTAACAGTTGAAATTACAGTACTAATGTCAGGGAAATTAAGGCATTATTGAAATGAAGATATTTTTAAGTTTGTTAAGAACATATTCAGATCACTATTCTGAGTGGGAGAAGCAAGTTCTCGAGTTCAAATTCCAAAGTGTTGTATGTAGAAACATACAGAATAATTAACAGGTGGAATTAAATTAGGATACTGAGAAAATAAGATGAATTAATTGGGTAACCTCTAGAAAGCTAAATAGTTCACACATAAGAACCAGCATGGGGCTAGTTCCTTTACAAAGCTGTTTATTATCTAAGCAAATAATATTAAACTCCTGAAGCAAATACAGATTTCGCTGCTGAGACCTGAGTGAGCAGACTGAAACTGACAACTAAATCTTCTTATCCAGAGACATGAGTTATTTTTAAAATGTCGATTTAGCAGTGGAAGTCATTAAAAAAGGGGCTTGGATTGGCACAGGTATGGGCACAGGTGCATGTGTGCTTCTAGCTCCAAGCACCATGTAATTTCAGCCAGTCGTTCACGCTGTCACGGGACCTTAGGCAAACATGAGCTTGGAGCAGGAAGCGTTCTACGTGAATGGGGAGAGAGGTGGCACAGGAAACAGGAAAGGACCCTTCACATTCAGCGCCTTCTCGCGCAAAACATGCTGCTCCGTTTCAAAGATGCTTACTCTTTCATTTGCAGGACTTCCATTTCTCCCATCTCCTTCATAAACTGTTTTATATTGTCTTCAACTTTTTTTAGCTCTTCATTCCGTTTCCTCAAAGTAAGATTATCCTCTAGCCACCTTTCCTGGATCTACCTCCACAGAAAGCAAGAAGTTGTGTCATGTTTCAGCACAGTGACGCTCAAGTACAAGGGGTGAGTTCTGCGCAACTCCAGAACAGGCTACAAGCATAAAACAACTGACAACACCACCAATTATCACAGTGAGAACGTATCTTGTGCTAGAAACAGGGTATGATGGCAACCAGCAGTATTACTTCATACCTCAGTCTGAAATAGTACGTACAGTATTTATTGTCACAGGTGTACACAAGAGTCATCCTGTGTGCAACCATTAATCTTTCAAATGGGGCAAAGAATTTAGGATGAGATTTATCAAAGTCCCCCATCTCTGTTCTACACGTTAGAAAGACATCTTTCCTATCGAGGATGTAAACAGGATTTAAATATATGCACAAGAATTGAAAGCACATGAGAAAATCCGGAGTAACTAACAACTTTTGGTACCTGCAGTTAGGAACACCTTACAGCAGCCTTGCTGCAGAAGGCAGGTGTTCTGCACACAAACTCTGGAAAACGCTCTTATCGCAGCAGAATTATCCTTTTTGGAAACGCCACAGAACGATAGAGAGAAGTTTTCCAAAATATATCTACTTCTGCATCTGAAGACTGTTTTTCAGCCCAACACATGTATAGCAGCTATTCAGACCAACAACTAAGTAACTCAGGAGGAGACAAACCCTGCACCACTACAACCCCAGGCGGACTCAAACCAAACCCAGAAATCACTTCAACGACGCAAAATGTATTTCACTGTGAAACAGCACATCTACCTTCTGAGTGTCAATATCCTGGCGAATCGTTTCCATCTCTTTACTTGTCTTCTCCTTCTGTTTCTCACAGGCAGCTAACTGAGAATTTACTTCATCAAGTTCAGACTCCTTTTGCTGAAGAAATAAAACAGTATACAATTTAAACACAAAAGCGCTTTGAATGTCAACTTTTTACTGACTGGTTTTTAGATTACCTTTTTATAGTCGTCTCTTCCTTGTCGTATGTAGTTTTCAATTTCTTTCATGTACTTGTTTATGTCTTTAACTTTCTCTTTTATGCCATTTATCTGCAGGGAACATTATTTCAGATGAAATGCAGCCTTAAGTCCAAGAACTGATACGCTCTGTATCAAAAATTAGATACTAGGTAACACTGATGGCTAAGTACAATTCCTTATCTAACTCCCTTTGATTTACTAATAAAGCCGCCTGCTTTTGAAACCCACACGCTCCTTATTCCCATTAAAACGTTTTCCAAAGCAAATGGTAAATCACTCAGTCTATGCTTACACAAGAGGCCACCTCACCTGAGAACAACAGGTTTGTCTCTTGGCCAGGGCAGGTTAGAGTCATCCTTGCTATTATCTCTCTCAGATCTAGTAGGAAGGGCTTTTAATACCATTGGTCACTAAATATTGCCAAATGTCTTGACTTGGTTACATTCCTTTTCTTCCCCAAAAGTTCCACCAATCTAAGGCATTCCCTGGTGTCCCTGCTGTTTCCTAAAAGCAAACTCACTGCCATGGCTTCCATCCGTGCGGATTTGTACCTCCCAGCTACATCAAAAGCAAACACACCTTCTCTTGTGTTTCTTTGTTACTTGCAGTCCGTTTGTTCATTAGATCCTCCTTCTCCTGCTGCAGCTTTTCTAAGGTTGCATCCAAAGGAAATAGCTGTTCTTTTGCTTCCTGAAAAGGAGTTGGAGAAAGGCCTTTTCAGTTTCTCATTCTGTTAAAGACCAACATTTTTTCAAGTGGCAAAAAACCTCATGTGGTTGCTTCTTTCTCTTTGTGTGTGTGCATATTAAAAAAAAAGATGTGAAAATACATATTAATACAGTTCTGGGAATTCCCAAAGACGTGCAATAGCAGCACAGGACAAACATTTAGAAATACATCTTCTTTGCTAGGACTACAATGTAACAAGATTATTACACACCCACACCCCCCAGGACAACAAAGCTAAGGGTTAAATAATTAAGAGTATTTCCTACCGTGATCTCTCTGCATAAGGATCGAACCTCGGTAGTTAATTCCACTGTTTGTTCCTCCAGCTGTCGACGACGCTGGATGCTGCCGAGAATCTGAAGTTTCTCTGCTTTAAGCTCATTAACTGCACTCTTTAGCTGCTGAATCTGATTTTGCTGGTCCTGCTTGAGTTTTTGATTTAACTCAATTTTACTAGTAACTGCAGATGAAAACACACACTGAATGAAACAGTCGATCTGTTATTAAAAACTTCTATTGTCTTCCTTCTGAAAATTTAACTCTAAATCAAGCCAACTTGACGCCAAAAAACCAAACCAACAAACCATTAGAATGCAGTTATTTCAGAACGTAAAATAACTCAACTAAAATGTTAATGGCAGGCAGTGTGGAACATTATATTGAAAATAAAAGTGAAATACCAGGTTAATATGACTTACCTGTATCCCACAAGTGTTTTTTCTCTTGTTTTTCTTTTTTTACATGGAGAGCAGTTCTATTTAAATCGACCCCTAGCAGTTTAATCTCCTGCTGAGCAATTTTTCGTTCAACATCCATAATATCAGTCTGTAAGTATGAGGAAAATTACTATTACTATTGTATTACTGTTTAACAACACATTTTTCATCTTTGGCATGCCAGAACGAGCTTGGAGCTTGAGGCCCTCATGACTCAAGACCTTCATATTCAACTCCTCTGCTGGAGCAATGTCACATCAGTAGCAGCAAGGTTATGCCAGCCCATAGGCTGCTAGAAAGTGGAATTCCTAATTGTGAGCGGAAATCAGTCAACACGGATGGATGGGATGACATCCCCAGGCCACCGCAGAACAGCTCCATGTGCTACAACAGAGTTTTTGGAGCCTCGGGAGCTGCTGCCATCTCCCACCGTGAAATGCCCTCAGTCCCTGGCCTGGCCCCAGGTTCCCTACGTGACTGTCCCTCTCGTGATTCTCAGCTGAGCAAAGATTTTGAGCTGCAGTTCCTATAGCACAGAGCTGAATCAGAACTCAAGGGACTCTGTGGTCCTCAGAAGAAAAAGTCCTTACATAAAACTTGCGGTTTTATCAGTACCAAGTACATTATGCTGTTTTTTAAAGTATTTTTACTTTGCTTGAAGAGTTTTAAGACCACAAAGTTTTCTCTTATTGTTGAATAACTACATGTTTAGATGTTAGCAAGTGAGCATCATTATATATATTTAAAACAGATTACCAAAGCATACCTGGTACCTTTCCATCAGTGTTATATCCTCTAAACAAGCCTTGGCACCTTCCTCCTCAGACAAGGCTGTCTGCAAGACTGTTTCCTGTTCTTCTATATCGCCCTTCAGGCCTGTTAAATCTCTGTTTGCGTTCTGTATCTTGTTCCTCAAGTCTGGTATGTCCCTGTCTTGGAGTTCAACTACAGTTCGCCTTAAATCAAATACAAATCCACAAGATTTCCTTTGTCAAAAGCAGCACCATAACTTCAAGACATTCAAGATCACAAAATCTGTGATATGATTTCATAGTGGAAGACTGAATTTAGCCCAGATAGTATCCCCTTAACCTTTCCCATGTTCCATTAAGCTTATGTTCTATATCCAGCTACGGTAATACATCCCTTGTTTTAGACAGGTGACACGAAACAAACGAGCAAACAAAATCTCTCGCTTTTTAACTGAATTACATCAAGCGTTCCCAAGAGGGTCTAAAGCCACTGTACAAGAGCGCCCTCTTGTGAAGGAAGGAAAGCTCTACCCTCTAACATCCCCAAATTGTCTCAGAACGCTCTGGAAATGTTTGAGGCTAGAGCCTCTTCACCTCCTGGCAGGGAATCTGCCTACTCCCACTTCAAACGCTCCTCAGATGCTAAGGGACAAAATAACAGGGTCTGACAATAACTCTTTACGGCCAGCGTTGTTTACGTTTTGGAAGGAGGCAACAGGAAGTGAAAAGGGAGGAAACAGAACAGCCTGTCTAGTATTTTCATAGCTTCAAAAACACAGGCAAAATCAGCCTGGAAATTGGAAAAAGCTGCAGACACCTCTTCTGAATTTGTCAGTATTACCTACACTTTGTATTACCTTGCAAGTTTAAAAAGAACAACAACATAAAAAGGGTTTTTTAAATAACTAAAATAAAAGAGTAATTCAGTCCAATCTATGGGTTATGAGGGTCTGAGATGTATTCCCACACGATGGAACTGCACACAACTGAACCTCAAGAAAACATAGACGGCATTGGGAATCCACTGTGAAACGTGGAGATGCCTTTCTAGAGCATCATCATTCATACAAAACTGCCAGCAACAAGAAGTATTGTTAAAGGAGAGAGAAATCAAGCTATTATTAAAGGCTGTTTATACAGGTTCAGTTCCCATTCTGCCTAGACAGACTTCCATTTCAGTATTTTTAAGAAACATATTCAAGGTGACGTGGTATGAAAACATTTCAGTAACAAAATGAACAGGCTGGTGTTTGTTAAATGACAATGATAAATAACAAGGAGGGGAGCTGTACCTGCACAGTGTAAATAATTGGTAGCAAAGTTTAGTATATAACCCCTTTTTCTGCCTCAATCACACGAGAGGCCCCAAAGGACCAGAAATCTCAAAAATATAGAACAGTTTAATATTAAAGTCCAAATGAGCAGAGAACAAATGCTAGAAAAACATTTAACTCAACAATGAGATTTTTAAAATAAAGAAACTAAACCAAAGACTGTTACGTGTACATAACTTTCAATAATCGAAAACCAAGCATTTGAAAGGAAATAGTATGGTTTAAGTACTTTACCGAAGTGGTTTAAGACTCATCATTTCATCACGTTTTTTCTCTTTTCTTTTAAGCTCAGACTCCGTCGACTTCAGTTTGTCTGGGGCAAGACGCAGCTTCGACTGCAGGTCGCTGATTACCTCTTGCAGTTCGGCCTCTGTCTGAAAGTCTCTCCGACAGACCGGACAACAGGACTGGTTCTCCTCCGTCAGCTGGGTAATGAACTGCGAATAAACCGCAGTGGCTCCAGCAAGCACAGCTGGTTTGGAAAGAAACAGAGGACTTCATGTAGAAAGCAAACAGTGCACAGTAAGGCCTAAACTGGGTATATATTAACCATAAGCCAGACAAAATTATAACCCACACAACTCACAGAGGCAGCAATCTGAGACGGCCCTACACAACCTGGTCTTATTGCAACGCTGCCCTTGCTGTCAGCAGCTCGTCCCAGATCACCTCCTGACCTCCTCGGCAACCTGAGTGATTCTACCAGTCTCTCAATAAACCCTGCTCATCCCTCTGTAATTAACAGTGGAGGTGAGTGCTTCCTGCAGAGATTAGTGACTCCCAGTCAGTGGTGGGCCCTATGGGCCAAACCCACTCCAAACAGCTGGTTCTGTAGGTGCCTTCGCACCTCCAAGGACTCGAACGATTCCCCAGCTCCAAGACTCCCGGAGTCTACTACACAGGAAGCCAAGGCCGACCCTTCATTTACATGTACGAGAATTAACTGAAGAATTAAAACAACTGATCCTGCTTAAGTGTAAAACAGAAATAGTAGGGAAGATAAGGAAAAACTGTTAAAAAACAAGATTCAGCCGCAGTAAGTCAGCGTCTATTGTTTGTCCTGCACAAGCAACAGACGGTCTCAGCATCTACAGTTACACTTACAACAAGCTTTAGGGGAAATAGAGTTATACGTGGGTTTACCTCGCTGTTTTGAACTTTTTTCAATTTCTTCTTGAAGTCTGTTCAGATCACTGTCAAAATCTCTGCTTCCACAAACATCAAAAAGTTTTGCTTCATGAAGGGACAACTGGGCTTCTTTCTTTTTCAGCTCGTTACTGACATAGGATATATGATATTCTACCGATGCCAGTCGTTTGCTGCAACATCAACGCATAAGCTTGTTACAAAAACCCACAGACTTCAAACTGTTTAAGCAAAAACATGGGAAGTTAAACTGAAAGGGGTATCACAGAGCTGTTCACCAGTTCATCTTTAATGATTTTTCAGGAAATCTATAGCATCAACATTTTATTAATCTAAGTACAGTATAAAGCGTTTCATTTTAAATCCCTTTGGTTTTCTAGATGCTTAGAAGTGAGTTTCTCATCAATAATGAGAAAGCCATACAAAACCAGCAGATCCACCCGCCCAGCCCACTTGTTCAGCTAGGGTCCGTATAAACAATTAAGGATGTTCCAGAACAGTATTTTGCTATCTGCTTTTAGTGCTGCCTTTGACATGCTACAAATGCTGTGATTTTATTAACTAGCACAAACTGCATCAGCTCTACATTACATAAATTCTGCAGGATGCTTCCTTTGATTTTGAAGATTCCTGAATTAACAACAATGAATTAAAGTAACAAGCATGTTGAGCATATTAAACTTCCCAACATTTAAATTCCTAATTATACAAATACTTATGGAGACATAATCAATTAAATCAATACCTACTTAAGGTCAGCAAGATTATCCCTTGTCTGATTAATCTTTCTATTTTTGCCATGAAGCCAGTCTTCAAGTTGGTTTTTATTTGGAAAGTATCCCAACAGTGACGTCAGCTCATCAGAATGACTGGATTTCACTTTCTTAATATGGTCTTCTTTGTCTGCCTGGGGAAATGAAGCATTTCATATAATTCTTTTCATTGCTTATGTCACTCTGCAGACATGGAGTTAACGGCTTCAATGAAGTCAGACAGAGCTTTACATATGATTGTTAACAAACACCTGAAAAATACACAAATCTTGAAGGGACTGTAATAATGTCACATCCCTCTCTTATGAGATGATGATAGAAAAATTACTTTGTCTTTCTTCAGCATCTCCATCTGGGTAATTGTCATGGTGTGTAGATTCAACTGTTCCATCTCTTGATCCAACTTCGTAAGGGCTTTGTCCAGGTTTATTTTCTCATTTTGCAGAGTACGTACTTCCAGTTCGAGTGTTTCTACGTTGCTGCTCCTCTCAGCCTTCTCCAGCTCGTGTTCCTAAACAAAAAAAACAAAAGCCCAGACGACCTCATTAATTACACTAAAGTTCTAACTAAAGTAATCAAAAGATTGCTCTTCAGCTGGCTGGCAGCAGTACCATCAGCTGTTACAGGAATGACATATGAAGAATACATGGCAATGGCTGTGATGTTGGCATAGGAAAAATAAAACAGGTACTGGATGCAGATCCTGTCCTGAAAGGTAGTTAACTGCCCCAAAGGTGCTCCTGCTTTTACCATAAGCCATATCCACATGATTTAGTGTCGGGAAGCTCACTCGTACTGGGTTTGCATGGCAAGGTTGTTGTAGTGGGTGGCGACCGGGCTGGCTTCAGTGAGAACCTGCTGGAAGCCTTCCCCCCTAGGTCCAACCCAGCCAATGCCAGCCAGCTCCAGGATGGACCAGCTGCTGGCCAAGGCCGAGCCCATCAGTGACAGTGGTAGCACCTCTGGGACTATGTATTTAAGAAGGTAAAAAAATCCTGAGCAACTGCAGCCAGAGA